AGAAAAAAAACTATGTTTTATTTACAAATAGATAAAAATATTGTTATGTTTGTACATGAACAAGTTATATTGAATCTTTTACTATTATAATTTTAAATCATCTAATAATTTTTTTTTGTTAAGAGATAAATTGATAAAGCAAAATTTAATAATATTTGACTTTTTTATATTGAATTGAATTTTTATTGAAACCGAAACCGGTAAGCATCATAGATACAAAGATTCAAAGAGAGGACACCAATAGGTGTTTAAACAAACGAAGCATTCAGAGATTCAGGTTTAGGTGACTTATGATGATGCTCCAAACGGAATGTGATAATTAACATCATCGATCAAGAATATTTGTCTTTTAAAAAACAATTAACATGGTGTATTTATTAAAAAAAAAAGAATATTAACACGGTGCCGATACGGTTTCCAAAACATTGATGGTAACCCATAACCCATAACTTTCTCCGAAACATGTGATTTAGTCTACAATAGTACCAAAAGTCCCACATGCCTTGAACTTCTACCCATAACTTTTGCATTTTCAGATTTACAGCCCTCTTTTATTCTATCACAAAGCAAATTTAACAGATCTATCACATAATATACAAAGTTTTTAAAGCAATTCAATCTTACAAATAATCAAAACACGTCTTCTGAGTTGGCTAAGAAATGGCACTAATCAATCGTGGGAGAAATTAACACAACATGTCTCAGAGAACAAGCCTTGATATATTACACGTCTTGGTGAATTTTGACTACTTCTGGTTACCAAATATTTATCACACACTAAATCATGAATCTGAATATCAAAAGAGAAGAGATTGGCAAATTTACAATCAGATTGAAAAAAAAGAATCACAAGTTTTTAAATTGAAACATATTTGGATATACTTACTCCAATTTCCAGGCATAAAGAAAGAGACAAAACTCAGGAGAAGAATCACTACTACTCTTGGTATCATTGCTCCCTTCATGACTCTCACCACATTCCGGTTTAAAGATGAACAAACCGTGACCCGTACCGGGCGTACTAAACAACCAGTCATACACATCCCAAAACACTTGTACCGGTTCTTTATCAACCAAAACCGTTTGATTCCCTCTGAATTTCCATTGCAAATTCTTCACCTGAACCAGAACAATCCCGTCTACGCTAATCCACATCTCTGGATCATCCTTTGGTCCTGTCGAGCTCTCGACTATAATCTCATGTTCTTTCCTCCTATCGTGGAACTTAGCCCTAGTCGAAAAACTCTTCTTCCCAAAAACATTCTCTTTCTTGTAGAACAAGGCAGCATCAACCAAAGCAGGTCTTGATTTGGTTGTTTTAAACGCTTTCTTCTTGTAATCCCCTAACAACAAAACCACTTCCTCTTCCGCAACTAAAGCCACGTAGAAATCCGAGCTCGGCTCGGGACCCCCGTTGAATTTAGCAGACCTGAAATCCCAATACACATCGACTTGATTACCTTCGACCTCGAATGATTTGAAACCTTTCTTGTTCCAGAAATGCCATGGCTTGAGATCAACCTTACAACAGTAATTCATGTCTCCTTGTACGCTTGTTACCATTACGGTAAGAGAATGGTTCATGAGATTTTTAGACCATAGAACCCTAACATTTCTCAAGAATCCAACCATGTGTGCTTGGTATATACATGTTACGCTGCTCTGTGCTGTCTTGTACGTAACCGGATCCTCTGTTTGGATCTTGTCTGATTGTGATCTCAGCGACATGATTGATTCTCCGATTTCGACATTAACTGCAAAAAAACACAACAAGTTTCAATGGAGAATGGTCTCCTCTGAAGCAAATCGAGATCTTGGTGAGGAATGAACCCAAGAATCAGAAAAAGTACCAAAAAATGAATTTTGAAAAAAAAGATTTAAAATCTCTAAGGGAGAAATCTGGAGATTGAAAATGGATTTAGGGATGAATGATTGGGGAAGGAGAAGAAAACTCCATGTAAACCTGAAGACGCGCAAGGACCTTGAAGAGAGAGCATCACAATATCAAACACAAATATTTGTTTTTAATAAAATAGTTTTTGCCATTTTCCAGTTG